TCGGCAAAAAATCGGCTGGAAATGTCACTGGACCAAAACCTGTACCGCTCGTCTGAAATTTTGTGTCGGCTACGCCCGTTCTCTCTCGTTGCACCTGTGCAAGCCTATCGCCGCGTTTTCTACGACCGTTGAAACACGGCCTCTCCACTATGCGCACACTTATCTCCTGCCTCTATGTATAGTTTTCTTGTTGTTTTGCGATCGACCGACTGGCCGAGCGTACAGGCCACTCCTCTTACGTGAGCCCGTAGAACGAGACTTTTACGAAAGTCCCCAGCATCGAGGCGAGAAAGTAAAGCATATCGGGTTTGCCTTCAGGCCAGCTATCTGCTCCATTTTCCGACCTCTCCGTGCCACTGCACGATTTCATATCGCCAACTCTGTGTCCGCCTGTAAAATGCAAAATCATCCTCTCCCCTTCTTCTTTAGTTTCCATCGCGAGGACGCTCGTTTTTCCCTTCGGGAGGAGAATCAGAAGAGTTGGAGAGGAAGTTGCCGATTTCCTTCGTTATTCACCGATAAATCCAAGAATCAGCCCTCCTCCAGTCACGATAAAGGAAGCAATTTACCCGCGAGATCCTTCATTACCATTATTTAACGTTTCGCATGTTCGTCAATGATTCCCCCCCTGTAATTCCGCGAATGTCAGAACCCGTGGAGCTAGCCGGGGAACCGCAAAACGTTTTGTTTCTAATTGGATTGCATAATAAACTTCGACGGTTAAGTATTGTGGGGAAAAGAGAGTCAAATGATTTGAGTGTGTGTGCGTGTGTAGAGGAGTTTGTTAGACAAAATTAAAGAGTGTGAAATGATTTTTTTTTTTTAATTTGACGATCTTCAGGATTTCAAACGAAACTAAAGAGTGTCAAATGATTTTCTTTTTTTTTTAATTTAAGGTTCTTCAGATGGTTATTTTTCTTCCGAAGGATTTCATAAGTAGAAATATCGTTTGTTATTTTTCTTCCGAAGGATTTTATATGTTGAAATATTATTTTCATAAGTGACACGAATCTTGTTAGATTAATGTGATAGGAGAAATGTAATAAATGTGCTATAAAGCTTAGCTCTTTTGACATACGCGATTTAAGGCTTCATAGAATTCAGAATGATTGAGTGAAAACGTTTTCTTCGATGCCAAGAAAATGTGTTTTATAAGATCGCACGAGCTCATTTAAACGGCAGGTGTAAGCGCCTTGCATTAACAAGCTAAGACAAATTACGCGCAGCTGTGGCTATTAAGGGTCTTGAAGTTGTCAGTATGTTCTTCTTCCAAGAACACGAAAGTATTCTTCGACATATCATTTTTCTTTTTACTCGCATAAACGCGTAATCCCCTATATTCTAATATCTTTTTAGAAATATTAATCGTTAATTCAACATTTTTATTGAATTATTGCATTGGGAAATTGTTTTATAAATGATGTACTGAATTTATAAGATTGGAAGTAAATAGGTTTTATTTAACTGATAAAGTTCTTGTAAATTCGTTACGTTTATGAACGAGTCAAGAAAGGTGTAATAATATATTATTAACAAACTCTAAGCCAGAGAATGTAAAAGGAATTTCAACTAAAAATTGCTGCAAGATTCTGAGAGAGAAAGTGATTTTAATCTATTTTAAAGCATGATAATCAGCGTAGGAAAAAAGAATGTAGAGGTATCTCAAGTTCTTGGAATATTTTCAAAGAAATATTTTACTCTCCGAAGAAATACTTGCAGGGAAAAATATTTTCAAAAAAATATTTCGATACACTAATCATGATCATTATCTCATTCTAGTTTTTAATTAAAGAAAAAAAAAAAAAAATTTCTACATTATCATATGTCGATGTATTCAATGTATCCATTAATTTTCTATAATTGTCGAAGGAAAAGGAACATGCACATAATTTCACATATTTTCTTGAAAGATCATAGATACGCCTAACCTTCGAGCACGCATGACGTTCACGCAAATCCCATCTTACTATTTTTTCTTTTCCAGAAACAATGGCCACAGAGACCATTGCTTTGTGAGTTTCCTGGTTTCAATTAAGCTTTCGCTTTCCAAGCAACTCTCAAGTTAATTACACTCGTATAGTACTATACGAGTGTGTGCGGTGCTTAAGATCAAACTTCAATCCGTTATTTAAAGCTATTCTCCTTGAAAGAAAATTCTTACAGCCGTTTTATTTTCAACGACACAAATACAATGCGCAATGAATGAAGTTCTGAACAACGAATACTTCTAAACACAGAAATCATTATTCCTGCAATCGTATCATCACTTTTATTATTCCTTCAGCAAATTCCAAGAAGCCTTCAATAAAATAAAATTATACAATAAATTTCAGTTAGAATCTCGCATACACTCGATAATCTAGAATTTGCAAAAAAAAGCTAATGATTCTATCTTCTCTGCTTTGCTATTTCTTCTTTCATCTTTTTATAATACAATTACGAAGAAGAAACCTATTAAATCGTTCGTCCACAATTGCGGCACTCGGTAATGTAAGCAGCTGATTATTTATTTTTCAAACAGACGAATCGTGATTATCCGACACGAAATCTCCAGCTCAATTTAATTAAATTCTTCAAAAAGGGGAGAAGAAAATTTTCTCGGTTCGTTGTTAATAATTAAATACACGAAATGTAACAGTGTGGCGACTTGTAAAATGTTCATTTCGTTAAAAGAATGAAATCAAATGACGTCTATGGACAGAAGTACAGCGTACAAGTGCAACGAATGGAATCGTTAGCCTGGAGAGGGTTACTGTCTCTTCTATCTCATTAGCGGAATAACGATCGAAAGCACATTTTCGTCTTTCACGAATGAAATTTTTCGATCAAGTAGAACCTGTTAGCGAATACATACCATTTTACGATAGATTTCCTGTTATTTCTAAAAGGTACTCTCTGAAAGGAGCGAGGCCCAAAGCGGTAGCGCGGCATGGAAACCAGAAAAACCAGGCGAAGACCAGTTGAAATATTTTTCAGTCCTCTTTCCTGGTTCTTTTTTCTTCTTCTTTTTTTATAATTCCCTATAAATAGATTTTTTACGAGCTTGCATAGGGTCGAAACTCTTCTACAGAAGAAAAGATGTTTGACAAACTGTTGAGCTGCCTTTGTTCAACCGTGGCGTTCCTTTCTTTCTTTCTCTTCGTCGTTTCCTCTTTCGAAATTCACGGTACCGAGCTAAAACGAGCAGTTCGATCGCGGCAGTTTCACCGGAGAAAAACAAATGTAAAATACGATCTCGAACGATTCCTACCGTCATTTACTTTCCTGAAACCTGTTGTCTCGTCTGTCTCTTTTTCTCTCCCTGTCTCTCCCTCTTCTCGTTAATTTATGGCTTGCAATGCAACGCGACCGTAGTTCAAATTTTCAAATTTATTTCAACTTGAAACGCTTAAGCTGTGCTGCTTCGCTGAAATAAATAAATATTGATAATCCTTTCTTCATACCTTGTTGCAAAAATCTTTATTCTTGATCTAAATCTAGCAGTAAATTTTTTCACCGGAATAAACGAAACACTTTGTTAGAATTTGCAACATGCGAATAAATTTCAGAGCTTAGATTTATTTCTGTCTATTTTGTGTTTATATCTTTACAAATTTTTATATAATTTTTTGCGTATAACGAAGGAAGTTTTACCTTTAATAATGGTCGTTCGTTCTGAGAACGAAATGAAAAGTTTTAGGAAGCCATAAACGAACATAAGATCGAAAGTGGTATACTATTTGGAGCTGTAATGTAATTTATTGAAAATTCCGTTTATTAATGCAGGATATCCTGTTGAAAATGAAAGCTGCACGTACACACTCTTCATTTCGAATGACAATAATAACAACAGTAATTATTCGCAATAAGGACCCGTACTGAATATTAAAGACACCTCCAAATAAGAGTGTGCGTGAGAAAATTCGTGGACACACCGCTAATTTAACCTAATTTAACTTTTCAAAATTCCTAACTTTACCTTTTGTTAAGTTAAACTGTACAAATTTTTTTTTTGGTACATTTTCTACGTATAAACATTTCAGAAGATATTAATCAAAGGCCATTTCGGCAAATTTCCCTTAACGTTATTTTCACAGAAAAACGTATAAAAACAATACGCAAATTGCTATTCCCAAAGGTATATTTTCATGGAAAACTTAACGAACCTACGTCTTGTTCGGTTAAGTTCCTTCGAAGAAAATTGTACTTGTAACTTTTATAAACCAGCGGAACAGGTATACATTACACTAGGCGTGTTGCTTAATCTGCATGGTAATATCTGAGCAAACCTTATTTTTTTTTCGTGTCCCAATGTCCAGTTGAGTACCACCTCGCCATTTCTGAACACTAATACCGCAGTAACATTATGCTAATTACTGACACGTTAACGCCTCTGATGTAGTAATACATCTAGTATTACACTCACTTGTACTTCAAATATTGCTGCTTCTAAGCAATATCTTCGAGGAAAAGTCGATAGCTCAACGTTTACAAGCAACAATGGTAAAACCATTCCTATAAAAATCGACTTATAAGTGGAAAATTCTGAATGCAGAATCACTTTAAACCAACTTATATTTTTTAAAATAAAAATGATTAAAGAACAAAGAATATACGTATTGAAAAAATGAACGAACGTTGCATAGTGAAATAAATGTATTTAATCTAAACCAATTAGTCAGCATTAGCAATCTCGTTCAAATTCTAACAAACGAACAGCAAAGTCACGAACAACTCATTGTTTGTATATACGTTATGGAATTCCATAGAAAATGCAAGTTACATTATACTGCGACTATTCTGCAACACAGTTGTGCATCAATCACTTTTACCGTAGCTACGGAAGAGAAAACAATAATCACTCTGAGAATTTATCACACCTAAAAATAACATTAAAGCTAGAAATGAATACCTTGAACTGTCTCTTTCAGCATGTTTATTCCACAGAATATTCGCAATTCGACAAATCTTCACTTCAACTCACTTTTCTTAACGGTCCACAATTTTTCCACTCGTTTCAGAATTACGATACGCTGAGCAAAGGGAAGAAATCTTGGAGCGTGAGATTAGGTCTATCGCGGCAGAATCAGGGTACCGATGATCCCGGCAAAGGGTGGGGAACGATAAGCGGAGGCAGCGGGATTTCGCGTCAAATGATCTACGGGGATCCATGGCTCTATGGTACAGTTCGATCTTCGAGGCCTGGTCACGAGCCTCGAGGATTCATGACACCCCCGCCTCCGCCGCCTCCAGGAGCTCCAGTGCTGGTAGTATGTTCCTGTCCGGAATTTCTCAGTGGAACCACCCGGAAGTTCGGCAATTGCCGCAAGTGCGGTGGGCACCGATTGGCTGGTGTACCTTTAGGAGGAACATGTCGGCTGCCAGCGATCTCCTCGAGGTCAAGACCCAGTCTCGCGGGTAAGTTTCTTTATCGATGATGAATTTAGCGATCGAGATATCGATCACTTTTTATCCTTGGCGTTTCGTTCGTACCTGGTAAGAGGTACGAGCTGTGGAGAAAGATACGTTTTGTAGTTAACACTGTTATTTAGATCGATTAGCGTTGACTAATGCGTTCCGAGTAGGTGTATTTACGAGACTTAGCGAGTTCTTCGGTTTGTTAACGAAATTTCTAGGATGACACACTTGGCGGGTGAGGTAATCTCTCGAAGTGCGGTTTTGCTTTGGGTTGCTTGAATACAGATGCAAAGGGAAATGATCAATTTTGGTGAAATTGTGTAATATTCTTTTTTCTGTGAATTCGGTACGATGGTAGAGAAGTATCTGCAGAAAGATATGATTTACATTTGTAAAAATTGTTGTATTTTGTAGAATACCAGGCAATGGTAAAATTATAATACGATAAAAAGGTACGCCTAAAATTTATATTGTACGATTCAGAAAATCCACGGTAAAATAAAATAAAACAGAATTTGGCGAATGAAAGTAACGCGAACAAACGGGTCCCGATCCTCGGTGAACTGAATGAAAAATCGATAGGTGTGCTGAGGTCATCAATAGACGATCCCTACGATCAGATGCGTCGGAATCGTTTGGTGGAACCGAGGACGCGGGCTCGCAGTATTTCACCGCACCGGCCATTATCTCAACGAGATTCCCGGAGCCAGAGCGTCGCACGGAACACGAAAGAGCGAAAGGGCTCGATCGAAGGTACGTCCTCGAGATCCGAATGGTTCGACAAAGAGGCGGCAGCAACGAGCTACGAGGAAACGGGACGCAAACAACGAGCGAACTTCACTGGTGCATCCACCGACGAATGGCTGGAGGAGGCGCAGCCGTTGACAGATCCGCGAAGTCAATCAGCTTCGTCGACGCCGACCAGGATGCTTCGGATCCCGAAGAAGGTAAAAGGCGCCAGGACGGACTGGCAGGATTGTGCGTTGGTGAAAACGGTGGACACAAGTCAGACGAAAACCGGGAACCAGCAAGATGACTGGAAGGAGAGACCGTCGAGTGTCGGTGACTCGAGAAAGAGTATCCTCGAGTGCGACGTTAATCCGTATCTTCTTCTGAAGAAACAAAAGGACGAGGACGATCTGAGCGACGATCTGTCGGACAACGCCCTCGAACAGGACGATTCCAGGCCACTTTCCAGTCTGTTCGACCCCTCAAAAGTGAAATCGATCGAGAGGATACCGAACAGAAGCGCAGTGGCCGCGATCGGTGGTCAGAGAATCAGGGTGTTCAACGAGCCGCGAGAGATCTCGGACGACGAAGAGGTACCGCCGGTCACGAGGATTCCCATACCAAAGGTTTCACCGAAGCGGCCACCGAGAAGGCTGAAGGAAGCCAAACAAACGCTGAAGAGTATTCTGAAGCGGGGGAAGGTGCTCGAGAGCAGAAGGAAGAACGTCTTGTTCAACGTCGACAACGTTATATTCGCTCCCGAAAAGCCGTCGGAAGTGACACGATTGTCGTGGAACAGGATCGCTAGGATCGGGAATTGCTCCACAGCTGGTGAACGTCGGAGTAACGACGAGTCAGAGGAGGAGGAAGAGGACGACGAGGAAGAGGAAGAAGACGAGCCAGTAACCGCGTCGCACGATCAAAGAGAGAAGTACAACTTCATCACGATTCCGAATATCAGGGATCCGAAGGTGGACAGAATTCGGCCGAAGGAGCCGAGAGTTTCGCAAGATCTGTGCCAAAACCCCGTTAACGTTGACGGAATTAAGGTAGATAAGTTCGTTACCGCGGGCAATGCGGAGCGTGTTTTTACGAAGAAGAGAGAGAACGTCGAGATATCGCGGCAGAACGAAGATATCGTTCCGCGAAACTTCGCCGAAGAAACTGTTCACTCATCGAAACGCGAGAACACCAGGGAAGAAAACGAGGAGAGGAAGAGGATAGAGAAGGAGCACGCGGCTAGAATGGAGGAGGACGCCCAATTGCAGATCGAGATCGAGAAACGCAAGGATCGTATTCCAGGCCTTGTTGTTGACGAGAAAGACTTGATACTGAAGTCAGAAGGTACGAGTTTTTTTTTCATAATTTCCCATATTTATCTTCTCGATGCTGTTTAGTGAAATTTAAATTCAAATATGCGATTTTGATCCCTTAGATCCTTACGTTGAACCTCTGTAACTTCGTTATTCTTTTGAATTTCGAAGAAACACTTGGGGAATATATTTTCAAGGCTAGAAACAACGAAGAATCGATGTTTCGACGCTTCTAGACCAGAATACCCCCTTAATTTTGGTTATTCGCTGTTTTTTAATACAGTGTTAAATAAAAACAAGTGAAAATATTGCAGAAATACAATTCTTCCTTTGTCACGTCTTGACCATAATCTGCACCACAGATGTGGCTCGTTGTTATAAATCAAGGGATTAACTAGATGGTCATACGGATGTTTAGATCATGTTGAAGTGAGGGGAGTGTCGAAGGTATCCGTGTTTTTGTATGCAAGAGAACGACAAGATTTCTTCGATAGATATCAGAGTTTAGCACGTCACCAACAAAATACGTGTTGCTACATGTCCATTAGTCATCGTATGTTTGAATCCTCTTCGTCTTCTTAATTACTGGCTTCTATGATTGCTTCTTTTTGCACAAACACCAATTACACCCTTCCTTTCTAGTTTTATTACCTTTCTGTTATGGTCGTTTAGTTGCAAAAGATGTTTAACAGAAGAAAGATTGCTTCAGTCCTTCCAAGATTACTTTCTACGCTGTTAATACATTCGAAGGTATTGTTAAATTATAATTTTCAAGCATTTTTCATTTACGATGTAATAAATAAGGGTAAAGCTTTCGTGATCGTAAAGAATTCTCGAAACCGTCGAAAACAGAAATATTTATAGTTTCATTTCAGAAGATGTAGACTCGTGTTACTCGTTAATATGATCGCTCATTTTTTTTTTGTTTTTTAAGCAGTCTTCGATCTATAGTAAGATATTTATCAACAATGATAATTTCGTGAAAAGTTACCTCGTCTAAAAACTATAAATCATTAGATGATTCACAGAGCTCCCCTTTCTCTGGGTATCACGAGCGTGTAATTATGCTTTTTAGATATCTCACGCGTTTTCTCTTCTTTTCATGGCCATTCACGGCCTTACTCTTGCATGTGATTATACCTTGTACAATAATCACGCTTATATACGTATATCGTGTAATAAGTTTGCTCGTTTTTCCGTTCATAAATTGCTATCAAAAGTAAAATTATTATCCTTCCGATCCGCCTTGTTCGTTTATTTCCACATTTCCACGTTGGATTTTATAAGATTCTTTTTTCACTTCTTCTCACCTTCAAGCTGTTTTATTCTTATCGTTTAATCCTTTCGCATGCTCTCTTTTGCCATCGTAATTTAACGCTAACGATACATTTTATTGTTACACATTGACTCTTATCCATACTTTCATTCATAAAAAATACAGTTAAATACACTTCGTTTATTTGAAATTATAAATAAGCATTTTTATATCTCATTTTTTATTAAAAATTTACGAATTATGGAACAGCAAAGAATATTTGAAATGTTTCAATGATACATCAGAGTACATCGGTAAATCTTGATTGTCACGTTTGTTAATAAGCGATTACGTAAAATTTCCAATACATTCACAGAGACCTCGAAAAGATCGTCTTTATCGCGCAGTCAAAGCGAACGATCGTTCAATCGACCAGAAGTGTCAGCTGGCGATGTACTTTTTACGGACACCATGCGTCTAAGTTTCTGCAGAAAGATGAAAGAAATGCCATCCCCGTTAGACTCGAACGACCAAACGACGATTGAACGAGAGGATTCGATCGAATTCACCAGAGAATCCATGGAGAACGTGGATTCTAAGGAAGACACCGATTCGGTGAAAATCGAATATCAGCCTGAATTACCGAATGTCAAAGAGATCGAGGAGGTTCTTGCACAAAGTATAATTAAACCGCAAACAGACGTTGCGACAGATATTCAGAGTAATTTCAAAGGAATCAACCATCATTTCCGAGGAATGAGACCAACCAGTTGGTCTCCTCCGCCTGGTAAACAGAAACATCGTTACAAGATCAACGATCCCGACGTGAAGCCGAAAATCATGGATCATTCCGAATCAGAACGAAACAGTCCCGTGTTGAAAACTACATGGAGCACGTCTGATACCTATGGATCCTCGAAAGTCGAAATTGGATCGACCAGCACGGAAACCAACGTGTACAAAATTACGGTCAGTCCTCGAGCATCTCCTCTTGTTCATCGATTGCAAATAGGTCCGGGTAGCAACGGATCAAGAAGAACGTCGATTTTAATTAACGGAGACACAACACCGACTGCTGAAACATCGCCGGACAACAAAGTGACGATCAGCGTTGGCGGAGAGGACAGCGTTTACAATCCCACGGTGATCTCGGTGAATTCGGAGAATCCACCTCGAATAAAGAGCTCCGGGGAAAATCGTACGCTCGTCATCTTGGACAACTACAAATCGAACATCGTGGTCGAGACTGGGAAGGAAGACGCAAAGTCGAAGAAAACGATCGAAGCTGAGTCTAGCGAAGAGATGGAGCATTCTCGAGCGAGCAGCGAGGCTTCGTCCGGGGATAAAACGATCTCGAATACTCCAGAGGCGTTGGTGGACGCTGACAAACAAACGAAACAAACTGTCGAAGGTAAATCTTCCGTTGTGGAGAAAAACGCGAAGTTCTACTTAACGAACGAACGAGCTGCACGAGGAGAGCAGAAAGCTCATCAGAAGGAAGGGGAAAGTTCGCAGAAGCTTACAGGATTGTCTAAGGAGGCGTTGATCTCGAAGCTGTTAGAAGATTCCCTGAGGAAGGCTCGGGAGAACGGGGAGATCCTCGACGAGGACAGCGGCGAGGCTATTCTGAAGATACTGAAGCAGAGTCTGTTGAAGAGCAAGGAGTACGAGAGTTCCGAGTCGACTCTCGAGGCGAATTACTCGAGGGCGTCCAGCTTAAATTCGGAGGGCGACTTCATCTCGACGAATCTTTTCTTGGAGGAGAATCCTTACGAGGTAATCAAAGAGCCAATTTACGAAGAGATTCCCGATGAACCTCCGCCTCTGCCGCTGAGCCCGCCGCCAGCTGAGGATTACATAAAGGACAGAATATATTTCGGTGACATCGATTACTACAGGAAGAGCAATTCCGATCAGTTCCTCGGATCTTACTTGACGAACGATGTTTTCAAAAAGTCCAACACCGAGGATCTTACGGAGACGTATCTGTCCAAGAGTCCGGAGGATTTCTACAAGAAAATGTCCGCGTCGCCGGAAGAGGAGAACATCTCGAGCAAATTCGAGTTGCTCAACTTTTTGGTGGACTCGAAGGATCGAGCGATATCGATCGAGGAAGAAGACGACGACGAGGACGACGACGAGGACGAAGAAGATACCGAGGGAGATCTGGAAGCGTTGTACGAGCAAAAAGAGACCAGCCTTGGCGATCTCAGCTCGAAAAGCTCGCAGATATCGAACGTTTCTGATAGCAGCGAGGAATGCAATATTATTCTGACCAGTTCATCGGAAACATCAAAAGTGAGTTTTAATTCAAGTATGCGTTTAATGTTACGTATTAATTTTAGTAATGTCGCGTTTCTGTGGACAAGATTTCTTGTACAGATAGGAATTTTCATTTATCACTCGTTAACAAGAGTTAAACGTAAAAAAGATCTATATTTGTGTAGTGTTTAATCGTTGTAGTATTTCACATTTTATTTAACAGTACATTTTTAAAGGTTCGTACTTCTGATTTTTTAAAACTTAATTATTGGAACAACTCGTTAAAAGAAATTGCATTTTACACAGTAAATGTTATTTATATTTGATTGAAAATATTGCTAATTTTAGTACTTTTTGTTACTCGATTATTTTCGTATTAATGCTCGTTATACATTATGAAGAGAAATAATTTATATCAATCTTCAGTACATGTAGGAGTTAAACAAATTTAATCTTCTGCTGCACAAATTTATTAATTAATGTATTCAAACGTAACAAAAATGTAACAATCGCATAATTTGCCCGTTGAACATTCCACACAATAGTACTCAACATTGACGAAGAGTAATAAAATTTCTTTTACAGTAGAACTATGTATTTACCATAATTGCCATTGTATTTTCTCTATTACGAATTTTTACGACGAGTCGTGTTTTTCTTTCAATAACGTCAAATTTACGGTTCCACTAATTATCGTATACGCCATTGTATTTTTTTAATTAAGAATTTTTCAAAGGGTCGTGTTTTACTTTCAACAACGTGAAAATTGTGGTTCCAGTAATTATTGCAGCGTAAGCACGATAACAACGTGCGTAACATATGTAACAATAGATCCGATAAGGATGTAAAAACAATCGTGATGCGAATTGTAATAGCGATGCTTTTTACAGGTAAGGGCTGTAGATATAGAAAGAACTGATAGCGGAGTAGGATCAGAAAGCAGTCAGGCCAGCAGCACTCGGGGCGTGCCGAGACGTTGGAGAGCAGGAAATGTCTCTTCGGGACCAGGAAGTCTCCTCAGTGGAATCCCACAAGTGATTTCCGGTGATTCAAAGCTCTGCGAAGACTGCGAACAACGTTTGGATCCTCTAATAACGGACAGGTGAACGATTATGCTATAATAAGATTAGTGCCCGTTCGATAAAAAGATCATATGGAAAATGAAAACACTGAAGAAAACACGAGGGGAAATTTCATATTTCCAGTTTCGTGATGTATCGAGGAAAATACTTCGATCTTAGTCTCTTGACTATAGATCATTATCGTAATTTAATATTTTTACTAAATTACTATTTTACTTTTAGAAAGATTTACTATTTTTTAAATACAGCGTAAAATTTTTGCAATTGAAACTGTGCATAAAAAGATTTATAATATTTACTAAATGATTTCTAACGATTATTGTGATATTTTCCAGTGGTGTAGTGTACGCGCCCTTCGTATGCAGAAAATGCTCCAAGAAGAGAGTAGAACGCAAAGAGATAATTACGGAAATCGTAGAAACTGAACAGAAGTATGGAAGAGATCTACAAATTATTCTTGAAGAATTCCACAGACCTATGCTGAGGGCTGGCCTCCTCACTTCGGAACAGCTCACAGCGATCTTTCTCAACGTGGAAGAACTTCTGGAACACAACGTTGTACTCGCAGAAAAACTGAAGGACGCCGTGGAATTTGCTCAGGTAAATAAACAATAATTTTGTGACTTTGAGTAATTTCAGAAACTAACGATGTTTTCACAATTTATAATTTCATAGATATGAAAATATTTCAGTAATTGTTCTCGTAACATCGTTCAATGTAAATATATGAACAAGCTTCGAATTGATACTATGATCGTTGTTTAACAAATTTTTTCAACGATTCACAGGAATCCGGGGACGAGGATCTTTTAACGGTCGACGTAGGAAAGATTTTCCTCGAGTCTGAGCGGATGTTACACGCGTTTGAAAGCTACTGTACCCGTCAAGGAAGTGCCAGTTTATTGTTGCAGAATTTAGAGAAAGAGAAAGAGTTGCTGCGAATATTTTTGAAGGTTTCACAAATGGAAAACACTGTTTTACGTAGAATGAACTTAAATTCTTTCTTAATGGTAAGAACGAAGTAAAATTAACATATCATCGTTTTAATATTAGATGTACTACGAAATGTATACGAAACTGTATTATAAATATTAATTCTCTCGAAGGTTCCCGTACAAAGAGTGACAAAGTATCCTCTTCTGTTGGCTCGGTTACTGAAAGCTACGCCTTCCGTACGACCAGATATTCAAGAAGCTAAAGAAAGATTGAAACAAGCTCAGGCCAACATAGAATTGCACTTAGAACATATGAATGCTGTAAATATACCACTTACGTTATAAAGTTAATACTATAATGTACTTTATAAACTATTATAAAGTTCATTTTGAAACTGTATTGTGCATGTGAATATTCTGTATATAATCGAACAATTTAATAACGAAATATTAGGAAGCAAAGGATGTAACTTCGACGAAACTGTGGAGAAGAATTTCGATTATTCAAAACGGTAGGCGACCCATCGGCGAACAAGACATGGTGAATATAAAGTTAAGAAAGGTAATATAGAAATACATGTTTCAAAGAATATTTCTAAACGAGTTTTAAATATTAATGTTAAACGATATTATATAGTACAAAGAATTCTAGAATTTAACAACGTGTGCTCATTAAATAATAGATGGCCGTGGAGGTATTAGAATGGGCCCACGAAGAAGCAAAATTTGTGCTAGAAGGACGTCTTTTAGTTGCACAGCCAACAGATAACAATTGGAGACGCGGACGAACTGTCAAGCTTGCCCCTGTAACTGCCATGTTGGTTACTAATGGCAAGGTGAATAATTTGTTCTTTTTTATTTTTTATAATTATATTTGACAGTATTTAAAATTTATAATTTACAACTGTTTTTATAATAACAAAAATTTCTTCTTACAGCCAAATGCAGAGGACCTTGAATTTCACGACGACTCTCTCTTTCCAAGACACATTGGTATCAAAGAGGCTACCCTCTTGTTGGTAAAAGAAAAACTTGGACGATATTCTTTATTACGCGTAAGTTATGTTCTTATGTTTGAATTAAATTAATATAATTTCTTAACTGTTTATCGTGGTACGAAATTTGATCTATTTTAGGAACCGTTATATCTTGACAAGTGTATAGTATGCTGTGAAACAGATCTTGAAGATTATTTTGAAATTCAGGAATTATCATCCAAGGAAACTTTTATATTTAAGGTAACTAATTTCCTTATCTATGAACATTGCTATTTGTATACATAATAACATCAATTTTCTATTATTTTTCTTATGTTTTGATATTCCCGTAATTTTTATGGACACTATATATACATATCTTTTTTTCTTTCAATAATATTTTTTCCTTTTTCATTTTTTCTTTCAAAATATCATATTTTATTACAGGCCGAAGATGGGGCCAGAACAAAGAGGTGGTGTAGAACGTTACAGGCGCACGCACAATCTCTAGGTGCATGGCGTAAACGTCGTGGAGCGTTGCCAAATATCATGATATGCGGTGTCGCAAGAAATTGATGAAGACACGACATAATTAGATGTAAAAATATAATCTACATTTACAGTTGTTATTTAAAGGTGATTATAATTCCTAAATGCGCGAATAAATTCGCACAAGTTCGGATCAAACAGGCGTATGATCTCCAGATGAATTAGTAGTGATTTATCGAGGAGAATGTATGTGTTGGACCAAAGGATTTCCTCTGCTCATTGATGATACATGTCAATGAGTGATACGAAAATCTAGTTCTCGCCGTGCACAGTTTATTGTGCGTTCGGTTACAGTACGTTGCAGAAACTTAAGTTTCCTACGTCACTGTAGTCAACACGTCGCATAATGTTAAATACGCGTCACAAACTATTCTCTTTTTCTTTTTTCCTAATTCACTACAACAACACACGTATACCGAATGAGTTATAGCCCACGCGTAGGATTGTTTAATTAGTAATTGCATTGAAGCCGAAAGAGCAGAGAGTAGCTGTGATACTAACCGGTGTATTGGGTACTTTCACCAGATAATATAAAATACAGCAGTATGAGTCCAAGCTTTTTTTCCTATGTACTTCATGAACGACATTTAACTTTCGCGATAATAAGTTAATAATAGATAGTGTACATAATATTAAAACAATGAGGTAATAGGGTTGTTGTACTTTGTACCTACGATTTATGAAAACCAAGAAACTGCCAAATATTTCATAAAACCAGGCTTGATAATGATTTATAAATTAATTAATCTACTATAATCCATAACTATTCCTTAAATAATAATTAACAGTATTTTATGATGTCTAACACACAAACTAGAAATTGTACATTGTACTATAACTTTATTTAAGATCTAAGCCATACGTTTTGTATATAGATGTATATTTATACTGAGATTGGTTTTAGACACATATTTGTTATTTTAAATCCATCATTCAATAAAAATCAAATATGCTTATTTGCATGCTGCAACGTGCAGCATGATCCATGTTTTTTATTTTATTTTCCATTATGATTACTCGTGTATTTAAAAAAAAAAGGCTAAAAATGCCTTATTTAAGAGGAGTAATAAATATAAAACAATATACATATTCTGTCTTGTAAAAATCAATATTTATTTTATAATAATAATTGTTAGCAATTAGGATTTTTCTACATTTATTAAAATCCAACCATAGTATTTGCATGTAACAATTATTTTCACATTATTGATTATCTTATACACAAAAATAATCTTTAAGTGATGCTTATAGATGCTTGAGATTTGACAATAAAATAACTGCAATCTTGGAAGAAAACATTTATTTGCTAAATATGTACAAAACTTATGCTTTAATTTCGTTACAATAATTTTCTTTTAATACAACGCACGCCATCTATCCTGCCAAGTATGGCGATCCCGCGAAACTTTTCTTTCAATTGAACATTTCTTTCTTGTTAGTAATAAATAAAAATTCATAAGCTTCTATAACTAGTTTCTTTTTAATTTTTGAATATGCCTTCAAATCTTACGATGTTTTTCAAATTCACACGCCTCATATTACGAAATAAGTAATGAATTTAAAGGGTTCTCATTCACCAGTTCAGTTATTCTCAGAATTTAGAACCCCTGATGTATCATAAACAACGAAGATGGCGTACGGTCGACATTCTGTTAGTTTTACTGGTATGACGCGTTTTACTATTTACGAAATCTTTAATTTTGCTCAATGAAAAATTAAGCTTTGATTAGAATTATGGCTCAAGCGAAACTCAATTCACAAGAGGAAACAAGTAGCACGCTCAATGACAAAGAAAAAGAAACTGACGAAAAGGAAGGTACGCACTTGAAAGAATTTTGAGTGTTATAAGACGCATTTTTATCGCAAGTTTATTTCAGTTATCACTCCTGTTAATACATATAATTTCTTATTCTTCAATTTAATGACAATTAATTCAAAATATTTCGTCCGATTTAAAATCATATCTCGATTGTATGTGTTTAAGAAATTTTTGCAATTATTTAAAAGACGATTGTTTTTATTTTACTTGCTAAAATCTATTATATCTTTATCAAGATTATATAAAATAATAGGCAAAGTTGTTAATTTTGTTTTACTAGCTTCATCAACTGTATTAGAATGTGCAGTCTGTCTTCAACCATGTATATATCCTGCAAGATTACCTTGCAATCATATATATTGTTACCTATGCGTCAAAGGAGTTGCAAATCAAAGTAAAAGATGTCCTATGTGTCGTCAAGAGATTCCTCCTGATTTTCTCAATAGGCCACAACTGGTGGAAGTAGATGAAGCGCAAAAGGAATCAGAACATTTTGAGGAAGAGTATCAATGGTTTTACGAAGGAAGAAATGGTACAGTATCTTTTTTTGTGTAAATTTCTTAAAATAATAAGGTAATATATGTTGTAAATTATAAACAAAAATTGATTATACTAATACATTGAAAGTAAAAAGTAAATAACTTCATTATTTGTTAAAAACATGTGATGAAGTAAAGAGAAGTTTATATCCTACCCCTTCATAGGTTGGTGGAAATATGATTCAAGGACCAACCAGGATTTGGAGACTGTTTACAACCTAGGTAGCACCGAATGCGAAATTTTGATTTGCGGCATGCTTTATGTAGTTGATTTTAAAAATAAATGTCAGTATAGAAAACATCAACCATATTATAAACGTAATATTAAGCGAGATAAAAAATCTGAACCTTGCAAAGGTGTCTCAGGAATACAGCAACTCAATCACATCTTTCATATGTGACTGACATACAGTATTTTTTATTTTACTTATACCTCATTCAACAGTTTTTAAAATTATGTATAGTATTATGCAAAACATAAATTTCCATGTAAGATATTGTATGACAAAATATTAGTTTCTACTATTTTGTTATAAAAAAAATAAGATTATTAGAATGTATATTTGTAATAAAACTTCTGTATTTCAGAATATAAGTTATTTTTCTTTATAAATACCCTAACTAAAACACTTAGCACTTGTTTACATAATTTATTTGCAATTTTTGTTAATACTTCTATACTATGAAAAACATAACTTGTGTAATTTTGAATTACATTGTTGCAGGTTGGTGGCAATATGATCAACGTACGAGTCACGAATTAGAAACTGCATATAAACAAGGCAAACGGAATTGTGAATTATTAATCGCAGGATTTCTTTATATTGCCGATTTTGGTTCCATGCTTCAATTACGTAGGAATGATCCTTCTAGGCGAAGAAAAATTAAACGAGATTTATATAATGTACCCAAGAAAGGAGTTGCAGGTTTAAGATTAAACAGTCAGGATGAAGAAATTATTAGAGAAGTAAGGGGAGCAGAAAGGCCAGCTAGTCCTGCAAGTGATGATATGGGTATAACTCTTAGTAAATATATTTGTCTGTTGAGGTTTTAGTATCACTTCTAATAACTGCATGATGTCTTATCATTATTATGCATTTAGGTAATATACTTTTATATTCAAAGGTACGGGAGATGGTACAAATACTCCAGTACCTCCAAGTAATACACCACAAACACCAGCTGGTGGAACAGCAAGTGGTGATGCTACACCTCTAAATGACAGAATGGAACAAAGAAACTCTTTGCATCAGGTATTAGAACAAATGCGTTCCTTAGTTCTGAGAGAACATTTATCCTCAGATACAGATGATGAATTAGAGGAAGATGAAGAAAATGAATCACCTTCCACTCATCCTACATTATAATGACTATAAACATCTAACAATTCCTATTCATCAAATGAAGATCATTTTTAAAAAGCTTAATTTTATTAAAATAAATGTGACATCCCATTAAGTGAGAAATATAGTATAATAAACGCGTATACATGTTCAAAGATATAGAATGTTTATATATGTAATGTACTGATATGCAATCTGTACATTGCTCTGTGATGCTTATTAAAAACAAAACAATTAAGTACAATTAAGTCTTTCACAACTAAATGTTCAGTAAATGATTATTTTAAGTATTCTCTTGCATATTACCAATGTTCAGGCTTTATAAATGTGCAATTAGTATATTTGTAATTTTCCACTTTTTACCATTTTCTTAAGAAATGTTCTGCAGAAAAGAAATATCATTCCATATCCCTGTGCTTGAATATTGATTCTACTTAATTCAGATTTATGTACTGTTACTATTATAGATTATGTTATAAAATTCAACTTTAGTTACTGAGAATAATTAGGAATTTCTTAAACAAAAAAAAAAAAATAATACAATATGTGTAAAATGTAATATATTTAAAATTTAACAATATTTCTCAGCTTACATGCTCGGCATAACTGGCGCACTGCCGTTTTTTCACATTTGTAATTATCAGTATTTTTTAAATTAATACATGCCAAGTAATAACATGATTTTCCTTTATGGAATTGTCAATATTGTTAAAAGTACATTCAGTATTTGTAAAAAAATCATATTAGTATTTCATGGCAAATAGTTTTACTATAGTAGTAATAATTCTATTAATTCTAGTAATAAAGAATTATTTTCTGCCAAACAGTTTTTGCATTCATACTACTTGAAAATTAAATGTAAAGAGAGACTACAAACATTAAAAAACTGATTGGAAATATTTATTTCAATGTTTTCACAAATTCCAAAAACCCATAATTGAAAATATATGATGATCTCTCAACGAAAAAAAAAAATTAATACATATAATTAAAGTGTAATTCTTTTTAGGCATGTTATACAAAAATCTTCAATCTTTCATGTTAAAAATGGAAATGAAATGTGTGTTAGATACTTTCTTTCACATCTTTAGTCCTTTAATTTTTACTGTAAATGCAGGATCCATTACTTATGTATAATATTTTTAGAAATATTAACATTGATAGTATTATATTTAATTTTACCTTTTTAAGTAAAATACAACAGAATCATTCATTTTTGGATAAATCATACTACTGTGCACCTCATCAAATTTCTCTTCTAACATTACAATTTTCTTAAGTAAATCAGTAATTGCCTTATCATTTAATATGAAGTTTCACTCAAATCTATTATGTGCAAATCCTAAAGTATTCAAATAATGACTAAGAGCATCTGTGTTTATCATCCTTGCATTAATTTGATAGTCAAAAATTTATTCATAACTTTGAAACTGTAAAGCATAACGAGTGATTCAAGAGTTTATTTCCCTTTTTATTTAACATTAAAGTAAATGATTGGCAACCTATTATGATTTTTAACTTATAAAGAAACGTAGGTCTGACGTAATGCAAGTGTTTCTAATTTGGAGCTATGATACTTTAACTCTGTTTCACTCGTTCTTTTTTAGAAAATAAAAAATTGGATGAATTTTCTAACTGCTTTTCTCTGTTATAATGTCGCATCAACACGTAGTGGGCTCGCGTCGCAGTGCAAGTCGATCTCATCACAGGAGGAATAGATTGCCAAAACTGCAGAAGCAACTAATGTAATCTGAAGTACGTGCATTTTAGCATGTTCAGATGTAGAAAGCGTTTCCTTCTTAAGTAAAGTATGCCGAGAATTTACAACAACCAAAAGTTTTCCAATCAATTTTAAAAAATAAAATCAAAATTATTTAAAGGAATCTTTGCATATAGCATACATTTAATATTGAAATATTCTTTATTGTTTCTATGTGTGGCCAAATTCTTCGATTCATTGCGAAGCATTTTAATACCTTTAATTATTAATATTTAGTATGTTTATATCAACATAATGTCGATCATATAATTAATACATTGCTGTTTATCTTATGTATATTGTTATTAATATATGAATCAATGTCAATTTGATTTGTACCTAACAGATAAGCAGCATATGTTATTTAAGGACTAAATATAAATACTTCCAATTAGGTTGCCAAAAAACTTTAAAGTTTTGGTTAAAACTATCTAAAAATGATAAACAAATAAAACTATACTAGAAAAGGAAAATTTATTTTATCT